ACGGGCGAGGCGGGGTCGTTGAGCGCGCGCCGCTCAGCGTCACGTACTGCTCGTACGTAAGTGTGTGCGTGTGTGTGTACGCGCGTGTGTTGTGTGCGTGTGCGTGCGACTCACCCGCACGGGCGAGGCGGGGTCGTTGAGCGCGCGCCGCTCAGCGTCACGTACTGCTCGTACGTAAGTGTGTGCGTGTGTGTGTACGCGCGTGTGTTGTGTGCGTGTGCGTGCGACTCACCCGCACGGGCGAGGCGGGGTCGTTGAGCGCGCGCCGCTCAGCGTCACGTACTGCTCGTACGTAAGTGTGTGCGTGTGTGTGTACGCGCGTGTGTTGTGTGCGTGTGCGTGCGACTCACCCGCACGGGCGAGGCGGGGTCGTTGAGCGCGCGCACGAGCGGGTCGCGCGCCGGCACGGGCACGTCGCCGCTCAGCGTCACGCACTGCTCGTACGTACGTGTGCGTGTGTGTGTACGCGCGTGTGTTGTGTGCGTGTGCGTGCGACTCACCCGCACGGGCGAGGCGGGGTCGTTGAGCGCGCGCCGCTCAGCGTCACGTACTGCTCGTACGTAAGTGTGTGCGTGTGTGTGTACGCGCGTGTGTTGTGTGCGTGTGCGTGCGACTCACCCGCACGGGCGAGGCGGGGTCGTTGAGCGCGCGCCGCTCAGCGTCACGTACTGCTCGTACGTAAGTGTGTGCGTGTGTGTGTACGCGCGTGTGTTGTGTGCGTGTGCGTGCGACTCACCCGCACGGGCGAGGCGGGGTCGTTGAGCGCGCGCCGCTCAGCGTCACGTACTGCTCGTACGTGTGTGCGTGTGTGTGTACGCGCGTGTGTTGTGTGCGTGTGCGTGCGACTCACCCGCACGGGCGAGGCGGGGTCGTTGAGCGCGCGCACGAGCGGGTCGCGCGCCGGCACGGGCACGCACGCACACGTACGTACACGTACGCACGCACACGTACGTACACGTACGTACGTACGTACGCACGGGCACGTCGCCGCTCAGCGTCACGCACTGCTCGTACGTACGTGTGCGTGTGTGTGTACGCGCGTGTGTTGTGTGCGTGTGCGTGCGACTCACCCGCACGGGCGAGGCGGGGTCGTTGAGCGCGCGCACGAGCGGGTCGCGCGCCGGCACGGGCACGTCGCCGCTCAGCGTCACGCACTGCTCGTACGTACGTGTGCGTGTGTGTGTACGCGCGTGTGTTGTGTGCGTGTGCGTGCGACTCACCCGCACGGGCGAGGCGGGGTCGTTGAGCGCGCGCACGAGCGGGTCGCGCGCCGGCACGGGCACGTCGCCGCTCAGCGTCACGCACTGCTCGTACGTACGTGTGCGTGTGTGTGTACGCGCGTGTGTTGTGTGCGTGTGCGTGCGACTCACCCGCACGGGCGAGGCGGGGTCGTTGAGCGCGCGCACGAGCGGGTCGCGCGCCGGCACGGGCACGTCGCCGCTCAGCGTCACGCACTGCTCGTACGTACGTGTGCGTGTGTGTGTACGCGCGTGTGTTGTGTGCGTGTGCGTGCGACTCACCCGCACGGGCGAGGCGGGGTCGTTGAGCGCGCGCACGAGCGGGTCGCGCGCCGGCACGGGCACGTCGCCGCTCAGCGTCACGCACTGCTCGTACGTACGTGTGCGTGTGTGTGTACGCGCGTGTGTTGTGTGCGTGTGCGTGCGACTCACCCGCACGGGCGAGGCGGGGTCGTTGAGCGCGCGCACGAGCGGGTCGCGCGCCGGCACGGGCACGTCGCCGCTCAGCGTCACGCACTGCTCGTACGTACGTGTGCGTGTGTGTGTACGCGCGTGTGTTGTGTGCGTGTGCGTGCGACTCACCCGCACGGGCGAGGCGGGGTCGTTGAGCGCGCGCCGCTCAGCGTCACGTACTGCTCGTACGTAAGTGTGTGCGTGTGTGTGTACGCGCGTGTGTTGTGTGCGTGTGCGTGCGACTCACCCGCACGGGCGAGGCGGGGTCGTTGAGCGCGCGCACGAGCGGGTCGCGCGCCGGCACGGGCACGTCGCCGCTCAGCGTCACGCACTGCTCGTACGTACGTGTGCGTGTGTGTGTACGCGCGTGTGTTGTGTGCGTGTGCGTGCGACTCACCCGCACGGGCGAGGCGGGGTCGTTGAGCGCGCGCACGAGCGGGTCGCGCGCCGGCACGGGCACGTCGCCGCTCAGCGTCACGCACTGCTCGTACGTACGTGTGCGTGTGTGTGTACGCGCGTGTGTTGTGTGCGTGTGCGTGCGACTCACCCGCACGGGCGAGGCGGGGTCGTTGAGCGCGCGCACGAGCGGGTCGCGCGCCGGCACGGGCACGTCGCCGCTCAGCGTCACGCACTGCTCGTACGTACGTGTGCGTGTGTGTGTACGCGCGTGTGTTGTGTGCGTGTGCGTGCGACACACCCGCACGGGCGAGGCGGGGTCGTTGAGCGCGCGCCGCTCAGCGTCACGTACTGCTCGTACGTAAGTGTGTGCGTGTGTGTGTACGCGCGTGTGTTGTGTGCGTGTGCGTGCGACTCACCCGCACGGGCGAGGCGGGGTCGTTGAGCGCGCGCCGCTCAGCGTCACGTACTGCTCGTACGTAAGTGTGTGCGTGTGTGTGTACGCGCGTGTGTTGTGTGCGTGTGCGTGCGACTCACCCGCACGGGCGAGGCGGGGTCGTTGAGCGCGCGCACGAGCGGGTCGCGCGCCGGCACGGGCACGTCGCCGCTCAGCGTCACGCACTGCTCGTACGTACGTGTGCGTGTGTGTGTACGCGCGTGTGTTGTGTGCGTGTGCGTGCGACTCACCCGCACGGGCGAGGCGGGGTCGTTGAGCGCGCGCACGAGCGGGTCGCGCGCCGGCACGGGCACGTCGCCGCTCAGCGTCACGCACTGCTCGTACGTACGTGTGCGTGTGTGTGTACGCGCGTGTGTTGTGTGCGTGTGCGTGCGACTCACCCGCACGGGCGAGGCGGGGTCGTTGAGCGCGCGCACGAGCGGGTCGCGCGCCGGCACGGGCACGTCGCCGCTCAGCGTCACGCACTGCTCGTACGTACGTGTGCGTGTGTGTGTACGCGCGTGTGTTGTGTGCGTGTGCGTGCGACTCACCCGCACGGGCGAGGCGGGGTCGTTGAGCGCGCGCACGAGCGGGTCGCGCGCCGGCACGGGCACGTCGCCGCTCAGCGTCACGCACTGCTCGTACGTACGTGTGCGTGTGTGTGTACGCGCGTGTGTTGTGTGCGTGTGCGTGCGACTCACCCGCACGGGCGAGGCGGGGTCGTTGAGCGCGCGCACGAGCGGGTCGCGCGCCGGCACGGGCACGTCGCCGCTCAGCGTCACGCACTGCTCGTACGTACGTGTGCGCGTGTGTGTGTGTGCTGTGTGCGTGTGTGTGCGACTCACCCGCACGGGCGAGGCGGGGTCGTTGAGCGCGCGCACGAGCGGGTCGCGCGCCGGCACGGGCACGTCGCCGCTCAGCGTCACGCACTGCTCGTACGTACGTGTGCGCGTGTGTGTGTGTGCTGTGTGCGTGTGTGTGCGACTCACCCGCACGGGCGAGGCGGGGTCGTTGAGCGCGCGCACGAGCGGGTCGCGCGCCGGCACGGGCACGTCGCCGCTCAGCGTCACGCACTGCTCGTACGTACGTGTGCGTGTGTGTGTACGCGCGTGTGTTGTGTGCGTGTGCGTGCGACTCACCCGCACGGGCGAGGCGGGGTCGTTGAGCGCGCGCACGAGCGGGTCGCGCGCCGGCACGGGCACGTCGCCGCTCAGCGTCACGCACTGCTCGTACGTACGTGTGCGCGTGTGTGTGTGTGCTGTGTGCGTGTGTGTGCGACTCACCCGCACGGGCGAGGCGGGGTCGTTGAGCGCGCGCACGAGCGGGTCGCGCGCCGGCACGGGCACGTCGCCGCTCAGCGTCACGCACTGCTCGTACGTACGTGTGCGCGTGTGTGTGTGTGCTGTGTGCGTGTGCGTGCGACTCACCCGCACGGGCGAGGCGGGGTCGTTGAGCGCGCGCACGAGCGGGTCGCGCGCCGGCACGGGCACGTCGCCGCTCAGCGTCACGCACTGCTCGTACGTACGTGTGCGTGTGTGTGTACGCGCGTGTGTTGTGTGCGTGTGCGTGCGACTCACCCGCACGGGCGAGGCGGGGTCGTTGAGCGCGCGCACGAGCGGGTCGCGCGCCGGCACGGGCACGTCGCCGCTCAGCGTCACGCACTGCTCGTACGTACGTGTGCGTGTGTGTGTACGCGCGTGTGTTGTGTGCGTGTGCGTGCGACTCACCCGCACGGGCGAGGCGGGGTCGTTGAGCGCGCGCACGAGCGGGTCGCGCGCCGGCACGGGCACGTCGCCGCTCAGCGTCACGCACTGCTCGTACGTACGTGTGCGTGTGTGTGTACGCGCGTGTGTTGTGTGCGTGTGCGTGCGACTCACCCGCACGGGCGAGGCGGGGTCGTTGAGCGCGCGCACGAGCGGGTCGCGCGCCGGCACGGGCACGTCGCCGCTCAGCGTCACGCACTGCTCGTACGTACGTGTGCGTGTGTGTGTACGCGCGTGTGTTGTGTGCGTGTGCGTGCGACTCACCCGCACGGGCGAGGCGGGGTCGTTGAGCGCGCGCACGAGCGGGTCGCGCGCCGGCACGGGCACGTCGCCGCTCAGCGTCACGCACTGCTCGTACGTACGTGTGCGTGTGTGTGTACGCGCGTGTGTTGTGTGCGTGTGCGTGCGACTCACCCGCACGGGCGAGGCGGGGTCGTTGAGCGCGCGCACGAGCGGGTCGCGCGCCGGCACGGGCACGTCGCCGCTCAGCGTCACGCACTGCTCGTACGTACGTGTGCGTGTGTGTGTACGCGCGTGTGTTGTGTGCGTGTGCGTGCGACTCACCCGCACGGGCGAGGCGGGGTCGTTGAGCGCGCGCACGAGCGGGTCGCGCGCCGGCACGGGCACGTCGCCGCTCAGCGTCACGCACTGCTCGTACGTACGTGTGCGTGTGTGTGTACGCGCGTGTGTTGTGTGCGTGTGCGTGCGACTCACCCGCACGGGCGAGGCGGGGTCGTTGAGCGCGCGCACGAGCGGGTCGCGCGCCGGCACGGGCACGTCGCCGCTCAGCGTCACGCACTGCACGCCCGCGCGCTTCAACTCGCGCTCCACCAGCCTCAGCACGCCCGTCCACTGAGACACCACCACAGCTTTTTCGCCTACACACACGTTCAATTGACAGTCACTATCACAGTTACAGTCACCATCGCAATGACTCTTGTAACAAAAAAAAATTAAATAAATGCTGGCCGTCACGGGACGCCCGGCAAATGTGAAACATCCATAGTTGATGGTAAAATTTATAAATAACTAATGAAAATCAATAATGAAATATAATAATAGATATAACATGTATACATATAACGTACAAGTCACACTTTTGCCGGAAGTTGTTGGGACCTCTATGCCCGAAGTAGTCGACGGATATGTTTACCTAGGCAAATAGTCCGACTGGGTAAGTCCAGCTTCTGCCGAGAGATCAATGTTGCCCAGCCGGCTGGGCAGCGTTCTGGAGATTACGACACATCTTATCCTCCTCAAGGAAGATAAGATGTGTCGTAGTCTCCCAAACGCTCGTCGATCGAAGTATATCTCAATCTTTGAAAACGACATTGTACAACCAGTGCGTGTTTCCAGTGATGACTTATGGATCTGAGACGTGGTTTCCTTCACTACTGGCCGTATGAGGAAGCTCAAAGTCACCCAACGAACTGTGGAGAGGGGTTTCTCAGTATGATAGACTTAAAAATTAGGATATCAGTATGAGAACTAGAGTAACCGACATAGCTCAACGGATTAGTAGACTGAAATAACAATGGGCCGGCAATATAACTCAAAGAACCGACAACCGATTTGGAGGAAAGGTTCTTGAGTGGCAGCCTTGTACCAGTAGACGAAGTGTAGGGCGGAGCTAGATGAAGTGTCGACCTGGCAAAACATGTAAGAAATCGATGGATGCAGGTGACTCAGGACCGTGCTTTGTGATATCCCTTGGGGGAAGCATGTTCAGCAGTGGACTTGTAAAAAGCTGAAATGATGATGACGAATAAAGAAATATGGAGTGAAATACATAAAAAAGACACATGTAGTATGTGGCCGGGGGAAGGAAAAGGGGAGATCTCCCGCCGGGCAAGGTGTTCTGCCCGGGGAGCGGCTAACGATCTAAGTGGTAGTTCGGAGCTATTCTATATATACTGCTTTAACTTCGGAACTTTGCTAGCGCGATTTAGGCTTCGATGTGTTTCACTTGTGGCGCGACGACAGCGCCGCCACACAATACATAACTTCACACAGAGTAACAAAGAAGTGAGTAGTCTACGTGCACGCATATACAAAGGAGTCGAGAACGGTGGCGTAGAGGGAACAACATGACGGCATAAGAGGGCGTCATGACGTTTGCCGTCACGGCATATGAGTCGGTTTTACGGCCAATACGCGGCAATCGATGTTTCACATCAAAAAGTTCTATCAGTGCAATACAGTTATAGATAAATAGTGTCAGTTCAATAAATTGAAGATAGTGCAATATATTAAAATACTAACATAAATGGTAGGACTACTTTTCTGTCCAGAAGTCTGTATGCGTAAATACCACCCTCTTAACTATTTGTGTCGCCAAATAGCTGCGCTTGCAGGTGTCCATGAACCACGGGCCTTGAAGTAGCGGCGTAAGAATATACACTACCACATATCGTCCCGTAGATGGCGTAAGGGACTGACGACACAGGGAAACAAGCCAAGAGATGGACAGTAGCGTCTTCCTTAATAATAACTAAAATAAGAGTTTTAAAAAACTAAAAAAACACGCTTTTATAGATAACCAAACTAAGTAAACAAAATTTTTCAATAAGTTTAAAATAAGAAAATAGTGATTAATATAAAATTCATTTTATTGTAAAAAAGCGTGGGGTGCTTGATGTCAGTTGTTGTAAATATTTTTGTGGATATTTGTAAAATTAGCGTTTTTTTTTTCAGATTCAGATTTTTTATTTGCCACAATGTAGGTACAGGTATAAGATGGTACATTACTAAGTGTTTCCGCTACATTCTACCTTACGGCATGTAAAGTCATAAAAACTAAAAGATACAATTCTGATAGCAAACTAACCAGTAATATGTCATGCATATATATAATGTAAATTCTCGCGTTATCATAAAAATATCTGAAAAAGCACCCCACGCTTTTTAGAACAAAATGAATTTTTATGATAATCATTATTTTGTCATTTCGGTTCATAGTTCGGTTATCTACAAAAGCGTGTTTTTTTAGTTTTTTAAAACTATTATTTATTTTATATTTTTTAATGCGGCTAACTACAAAGGCGTGTTTTTTTTTTTGGAACGAAGTTCTTTTACGCGGCTTACAGTACATTGAACTGACAGAAATCGTAGTTGTTTTATGAATTATTCGTAATCTAATCATTTCATCTAATGCATCACCGTTGCATGGTACTTTCCCTGTCACCTTCGAGCAATCAAGTTCTTCTACCCGAATACCGTTCTCTAATTCTTCGCTTAAGTGTTTTGATACTTTTTCCATAGACTTGTCTTTTTTTCTCCAATCTTCTTCTCTTTTGATTTGTAGTTTCATTTCTCATTGTTGTTTTCACGAGTAATGGAAAATTAAAAGGTCAACCCCCTAAGAGGTTCGATAGAAGGATAAGGCTCTGATACAACAGGGTGTGCCCGGTGCCCTGAGGTTGACGCTAGCGACATGACAATTTTAGCCACTCCCATGCCATTAATCCATCGCACGTTTCTCACCAATATGTTGAGAATTGGGTGGATGTAAGTTTTTCAAGTGAAACTTAAATGCTCCGCAAGTGAAAATGTTGCACCGGTCCACACTGGGGACGTAAACGACATAACTCCATTATGCATTAACATAGCTATGAGCGGTAGTATATAAGGACCACGTATGTTGCTCACATGTACTTGGGGGTACGGAACAACCTTAGACGCTAAACGGGCCAACTCTGACGCTCGCTGATTGCCGCGCTCTAAAGATTCACTCTTTTATATAAATATGACCAACGCGCGAAGCCAGGTAGTGTAAGATAATCAATTACTTTTGTTTAGTAGGGGTCGGATTTTCCGTTGCCGTTGTTTTAATGTGGCGTTCAGAGACTTTAATGGCCCCTCTACACTACTCGCGAAGTAGATCGAAGTTGGGCGAGGAGAATAGTGTAGAGAGGTACTTCGATTCGCTTCGTGCAACCTCGCTTCGCCACGGGCGACTTCCGATCGCTGTCGGTTTTTTCGCCCGAGTCAAAGGACTTCGTGAAGTGGCTCGAAGTTACACGAAGCGTCTCACTACACTACTCGGCGTACACCTGTTGTATATAATTTATTTTTATATATAAATATTAAATATGTAGCTTACTGCATAATTATTTATCTATGGTTAACGCATTGACGTCGTACTGTTCACACAATTAGCATGCAATAATATAGCAGCTACCTATTGAACGTTATTCATGTTAAGGGTGCGAGCGACTCAAGACGACTGAGCTCTTCGCGAAGTAGCATGAGTGTGTAGTCACGTTCTTCGGACTGCGATTGACTTCGACGAGTACTTCGTCAAAGTTACTTCGCGAGTAGTGTAGAGGAGGCATAACAGCAGGCGCAAGCTTTATGCACACGACCGTCGCGCAAGTATGGAATACTATACGCGCATCACTCTTACGTCAACCGCTGACAATACACCCAGTCACTTATGTGCGGCGAGCCGTCCTTGCCGAAACGAATCAGGACAGAGATGATTAATCATGTTGAAATTCATTTTTTCAAAATATGCGGGTTAAACCTTTTTTGACAAGTAGTAAATTTTCGAATTGAAATACATAGATTAATTCGGAAATATTGATCAATTTGTTCGTTATAAGTTTATAAATTTGTCATTTTCTGAAATCTTATAACCCCAATTGGCTAGAACAATATCGAAATTTTTTTTTTTTTTGGGAAACGTGAGAACTTAATTTTTTTATTACATTGTTAATTTAATTTTTTATATAGTATAACTGTAGTGCCCACGGTAGATCTTCCAAATGTCTGCCTTATCAACTGTCGATGGTCGGTACTGCGGCTAGCCGGGTTGTAACGGGTAAAAAAATTAAACTAGTCATAATATGCTTGTCTCAAAGATCAAACCGTGCATGTCTCAAATCTCAATACACTGCTAAGAACAATAGTTATATGAATTCTCCCATGCACAAAAATATGTTTAATAAGTTACACTCCGGCGTCAGTTGTCGAGCGATCCCTTGTAAAAGCAAATTGATTTTTATGAAGCAATTTATTAATATTGAAAAACTTAACATCTGATCTAAAATTATTTTTTCAAAAATTTTCAACTTTTTTTTTAAATTGGCGGATTCTCATGTAGTACCTGATTTAAATAAAAGATATTCGACGCCTGTATTAAATATAGTGGCTAGATAAGGTGCTATTGTATGTATTATAGATAAAATAACTTTAACGGAAATCCCCCATAAGTCTGCCGTTTTCTTATTCAAATTCAAATTCAAATCGTTTATTGCGAATATAGGTTGATACAGTTGCTGTTTACGTAGTTTATCACTTATAGAACAAACATTTAGTACAGCTATATTCCGCCATTTGGCATGCAATGTCCATAACATTTTATTACTTTTATATTAAATTACTTAAACATACTCTAGTTAAAATTAGAATTCACATGATACAAAATCAAAAATAATAGCGATAAGTCAATTTAGATAATATTGTATATGTCAAGTCAATTTAGTTATTCTCAGTCATGTAACAGTCAATTATTGAATTTCATATTTGTCTTCGAGATATTCTTTCACACTGTAGTATGCCTTATTAAGAAGAAATTGCTTCAATAGTATTTCAAACTTATCTATATTGGAGCATCTCAAAATGTGTAATAGTAAATGGTTATAAATTCTAGGGGCCATACAAAATACACTGTTGTTAAATTGGGCTGTTTTGTTTGATGGAAAACATATTTTTTGATTATTACGTTTACTGTGTAGGCACTCAAATAAAGAAATATGCGTATGCGTAATAACCTTAACATCAATAGTTTTAAAATATTTAGCGATGTCTTTTGTAATACTCCATGGAATTTAAAAATATTTGAACAAGCCTTTACAATTTGTTTAAAATTGTATAGGAAAAGAATTTAATGAGTTTGTTGTCAAAAAAGGAACATCAGTAAAATGTTTCTCAAAAGCCATAGCAGCTTCTTGATCAGATTGAGTTAAATTATTTTTAATATTCAATTGAAAATCTTGAAAATAATCAAATTGAAAATTCGTCATTATTTTAATTACAATTGTATGTCAAATTTAAATTATTATTAAATATTAAATTACTCATTTGTAAATTTAAATTATGTCTTAGATTATTTTCCTGTGGCAATCCCTGTATGTGAGGCAGTTTGAAACAAGACAATTTTGTGTACATTTAAGTTATTAAGTTGTTCCATGTATCTTAATAACTGTTTGTTGCTTACACTGCCTCTTCTATCAACAAAAAATATTATTGCACTATTTGGGCAAAATTTAGTGACTATAATTTTATTTAGGATGTCACTAAAAGATGCTCCTGGTATGCAGCAATTTGTAATTTTTTGTCCCTTTAAAGAGTTATTTAAAGTTATGCCTAGATTTTAGATAGAGATGGAGGATGCCTCGTGTAGAGGCGAAACACGTGTCGTATTATCGTCAGTGGTGTGTCTTGCCTAGTATAGTGGTGCTGGGATTCAGTGGTGACGGAGATAGTGCACGCAATTGAGGGAGGGCGGGGGGTGCTCTTCATACTAGGTAAGACACATCATTTTATTTTATAACGCGGATATTTGCGAACTAAATTTTCTAAAAGCTTTTAAACAATAGGAATGTCGACTTTTCATTTTTTACTGTTCTTAAGAATACCGGAAGTTAAGATATTATTATTTATACCTATAATCTACCTAGATTTATATAGGTGCAACATATTAGCACATTCCGTTGACAGCACATTTTTGTATGTCACCATCACCGATCACCCATAGTCACGCCAGTCGTCTCTAAACCTCAAAACTGAAATAACGTGTAAAGGTAAATTATCGTTCACGTTATTTGTTACGGCCTACAGCTGCCTAAATAAGAGTAGAATCTTCCGGGCCCATAACTGAAGACCTTACATGCAGGTACACATCGGGCCTCCTAAGGCCAAAGTGAGAAATCTCTATAACAATAAACAATAAGGGGGGGCGTTCGATCCGGCTGCTATTCAACAGGGAGAATATTAAACCGAGCTTACTTACCTATATCCAAGGCGACTGGTCCCTCAGGATTCGGTCAGGTCGCATGTGGTTGTGTGGTGCAAGGGAAGTAAGGTGCTGTGATGTGTATCTGGGTGTGACTGGTGGTGATTGACCTTATTAGACCGTTGCCGCCGGCAGCAGCCCGGACGTCAGCACCGCTCCAAATTGAGGTAACCTTCCGCGGCGCCGTCCACAGTCACTTTCTTCGTTCGTCACGATGACAGTCCATTAACTCTATCGTACGATTAACTAACTTAAAGAAGCCACTAACCCTCGTTTGTTATAAAGCATAACCCACAAAACGAACACGGAGTGTCGGTCTATATGAAATCCCGTTACTATAAGCAAAAACGTAACACACCGCCCGAATACGAATGTCCGGATCAAAGGTCACTACCGTTTCGCGTGGCAACAATTATTTCTAAAATAGTTAACATTGTCGAATGCCCTTATACAGATTCTGAGTTAGACACAATAAGTCCCGGGAAGGGCTATCAAACAAGGAATGCGCGTTACAAATCCTAGACTGTATATTTACTAGACGCCTAAACTATTCCGCGTTTCCCGCACAAAATTGACAGCGTGCTATCCCAAGCACAGCTGGCAGACGACCACTTTGCGCTCGCGCGCTCTCGCCACACCCAAGCTAGCCCGAACGTCAAACCGGTATGGCGCCGAGCCGAGCGCCCTCTGGCGTCAAATTCCGAAACCAGCGTTCGGGCGTGAACATTATTATAATCTTGACTTTTCTCGATGTTGCATGTTAACCTTCCTCACATTTAACAATAGTATTCTTATTATCAGCAAATTACTAATACATTGCGTAACACCTCGGTGTATTCTACTACCAACTTATATCAAAGGATTCAATTTGTTTTCTCACAACACCTAACCCTAAAGTAGGAGCGGCCTTAAAAAAGGCGCGTAACGGGCTGTGATACAGACTCTCGCACGCGGACATAAGGTGCATTTTGATTTAATACGCACGTCGCATTAATTTTTTTACGACAACTTATTCCGTAGGCTATTTTAACGAAGGTCGTATCCCAGGCGTGCAAAGTATTATGAACATTTACAACTTTTTACTACTTCCTTTTATTGTCCTATATCAATGAGGCGTAACATAAATATTTAGTACACAGACAAACACTGAGACCTGAAACAAATAGTTGCAGGCCACGCATGCACTAGTTTTCTGTAGTCTCTTATATATTATACGTGGTAGAGCCACGCTGCAGTTATATTGTAGTTGCAGCAATAATGTTCACTCGATAAGGTAGGACCACGCTTTTACAGAATACATTTACATGGTTTGAAATTCTCCGATATACATGAAAAGCAATAAGTAACAACGCATAAATGAGTTACCGTGATTAGGAAAGACGTCGTCGTGGAGGCAGGCCATGACGGCGTCGATCTTGGAGGAGCGGCGCGCCAGCTCGAACACCGGGTTGCTGCGCGACAGCACCGAGCGCACCGCCTCCGCCGCCGTCGTGCCCTCCTCCTCCCCGTCCCCGCCATCCTCCTCCCCACCCTCCTCCTCCTCGCCTGCACCGCTCTAGTCGCATCAATAAACAGGAATACCGAATTAAGAAATTTATTCAATACAAAATAAAACAATACAAAAAATCGCTTATCATGAAAACATTAATATTTTACAAGTTAAAATAGTATCTGGCGAAAACGCAGAACATGAGGGTACATTACAAAAACAGTCACAGCGTCAGACCACAGATTAAATAATTTTACTACGTAACAGATACATCACTCCCGTACAAAAGCGAAAATACCTACGCTATAATAGCCTACAAACCAATCCCAAACGTTAGCTGCAAGCAAAAATATACCTTCTACACGCGTGCCGGGATTTGAGAACGCTTTGGCTACCGCGCGACCTTAGTATAGCTGCTTCATCGAGCGAATGCACTGGGATTTTACAAAGATGATAAAAGAAAAGACTAATGAAATATATATTTTATTTGTTTAATAATCAAATATGTTTGAGTTTTATAAAATAATAAATAGTTTTTTTTCCTTCTTACTTGTACTGTTATATCACGCATGGTTTTGCTTAAAACTTTTATCAATTACAATGCTTAAAAGTTTTAAGCAATTAACTAAAGAAGGTTGGTCAAATCGTACCAGACAACGAAACGATGGCGTCACTATATGCCATATTTATGAAAAATATTCTTATTTTTTAAGGTCTTGAAAAACACTAAAAATATCTCTCTAAGTAGCCACAAAAGAAAGTTATCCTTTTATTTTTGTTTTTGTAATTGTTCCGAAATTATTTAAAATAATGGTTTCTGAAAGCACCTAATGACGATTCATTTTGCGTATGAAAGTACTTTATATTCAAATACTATAATTATTCACGTTTTTCTGAATATTTGTTAATTGTAATTCAATTCAAATACTATTTAGACATCAAATCAACTACTATATTGATTTATTATATACTGGATTCATGTCATAAAAATAATTATGTAGCTTCATAATAATCTAGGAGTTTTGTTCAATTACGTACAACGGAACATCATTTGCCATCGACAAGTTACATAATCTATGGTCATCTATCGATACCATTGATTGTCACCCGGCAATCATTCGCATCATCTTATTTGCTTCACCTTCACTCGTTGTTGTAGATTGTGATACGCACTGTACTATTTTAGATTTCCTTCTGTTCTTTTGACCTCGGTTATTGTTTTACGGACTGATAACTACCATTTGTAACGATTATTCTATGCTTTCGATTTCTGGACACTGATTTTGCATCTTGGATATTTGTGAGAGACATCATGCAGACTACAGCTACACAACAACGACAACCAGCCCTGCGATTGCTATGTGTTAATTAGAACATATGCATATTGATACACTTCGCTGCCATCTCGTTTTTGAGCTTTATACCAGAGTAATTTCTAAAATCTGCGAGTGGAATTCTTCAATAACAGTACATTTATTTACATACTTATTTTATTACACTACGTAGGCGGCACTGAAATTTTCGGGAATCAAGGAAGTGACACAACATTACTATTTAAAAGTGTATTTATTGCTTTTCGAAGTATTCTCCGCGAAATTTGACACATTTTTCCATACGATGGAACCAATCATTGAAGCAACCATTCCATTCGGAAGTTGGGGTCTCCAAAATGGCCGTTTTGTAGGCGTCCACAGCTTCTTCAAGTGATGAAAATCTCTGTCCACGCAATTTATTCTTTATTTTAGGGAAAGTATAGAAATCATTAGGGCTTAGGTCGGGGCTGTACGGCGGATGGTCTGATAATTCTATGTTTTCTTACTCTAAAAACTCTTTTGTTCTGTGTGCGGTGTGTGAACTCGCATTGTCGTGATGGAGGATGATGCGGCGGTTGCAGTTCTCTTTACGGAGTTCAGAAACGACCTGTGGCAAACAAATGCTAGCATACCATTCTGCATTAACCGTTCTTTGTCCCTCAAGAGGAATAGTCGTAACATGGTCGGTTTTGGAGACAAACGTGGCCACCATTTTTTTTTGCAACACTCCGTGCACGAACCATTTTTGTTGGCTTTAACTCATTTTCGAACCCAAGTAACGCGAGCCGCTTTTTGCTCTTCACAGAGCGAATGCGGTATCCATCAGGAAAACAACTTTTTTACACCTAATTGTTCATGGAAGGTTATTTATATTTGACTTATGCCAATGTCTAAAGTTGTCTGAATTTCGCGGTATGTCACATGTCGATCTTCCTCAATCAGCTTCAACATCACACAGCATCAACGTTTTCTTGGGTGACTGCAGTTTTTGGACGACCTTGACGGGGATCATCACTGAGCTTGACACGTCCACGTTGAAATTCAGCAAACCAGCGATAAATTGTGGTTTTGGATGGGGCTTCATTACCAAATGCAGAAATCATCCTGTCAACACACTGTTTTTGTGTTAAACCACTTCGAAAGTCATAATAAATCATCGGTCTTGAATTTTCTGGAGTCAATTCCATTTTCTCAACGACTAAACAAGTTTGACAAAACCTTGTGACAAGACCGAGAATCTTTTTTTAAATAAATAAATGGTATTCAATTTTAAAAAACCAAGGACTTTTCAATTAAAAAGATTTTAATATGACAGGAACAGTGGAAATATTCCATTCCCGATACTTTTAGTGCAGCCTATGTATTAACTTGGCCCAGGTGATTTCTGGATCTCAACAACAACACCGGGTACCTGTACCGGGTCTAACTGTGAATCTAAACCATCCAAGAATCCACTCAAACACATACAAAAATTAAAAAAGCCAGTATCTAGTTTTTGCGAGACTAATGCACGGCAATTGATTTTTATATAATATACAACATGTAACAAAAACCCTGTGGTTTCTGTTAAGTTCGTTATCAGAGTCAGCATTTAACATAGTGAAATAACTTCAGAAAAGTCAACCTAGCACAATGGTTTTGAAAATAAATTTATTTATCCATTCACGGCACTGACATTTCTAATTTTCACCTCTAGAAAAAAAAAACTTGTCGGGTATAGGGGTTTGACTCCTGTATATGAGTTAGCAGGCTCGAATCCCGAGTCGAACCTTAAAAAACACTCAACCCAAAGCAACCGTAAAATCCCGTGAATGTCTAAGGGGCGACAGAGGGAAACCGAAACAGGAAATTATCTTTCTAAAAATAACTCAAACTCACCTCACCATATAAAGGCGTTTACACCATTAGGCGTTCCAGCCACAAGATAGTCCGGTTGAGTAGTCACGACCTCTCAAGGTCAACTACAAGATGCCACAATTAAGAAAAAAAAACGTCATAAGGAGAAGAGTTGACTGCTGTCCACCGAAGTCTTAAAATATTCCTTTAGTCGCCTTTTACAATAACCACGGGAATAGATGGGTTATTCTATTCGTTAAAACTTTATTGATAAGTAATTTACACTTCTTATACCCAGAGAATATCGTTTTTACGGATTTTCAGCAATTATATCGATTGTTTCAATATTGTTAAATAATACCAGCAACCGGTCCTAGTTTGGACCAGTAATAACAACACTACCTATGTGTGCGTAATGGCTACGCAATTTTTAGCGAATGCTTAGTCTGCTCTATTATATGTCTGTATTCATCATCATCGTCCTGGTTATCATCATCGTCATGGTCATCATCATCATCATCATCGCCATGGTCATTATCATCATCATCATCGTCATGGTCATTATCATCATCATCATCGTCATGGTCATAGTCAACATCACCGTCATAGTCATCGTCATCGTCAACGTCATGTTGTCGTTATGGTCGTTGTCGTTCTAAGAGTATACTTTCGTACATCATATACAATTATTTTCAAATATTTTACCATTAATAGAAAGTTTTTAATTAACCGAATAGTATAACGGTATAACGATGTACCGTTATTAGCTAGTTTTCGCTATTTGAACTGAGCATTTTAACGGTACGAGTTCGATGAGCCGTCATTTCTAATCACCATTCTTTATTCGTACAGGCTGTGAAACATATTTTTAATTTTAATTTTATTTAAAGGTTTTATTCAATTTTAAGGTTGGAACTTACTTGATATTACAGTAAAGTGCCGAGTATTGTTTACGCACACAATGTACTTCGAACATAATGACTGAATCCTTGTAATCAGATAAATTACACCCAAGGTCCAACCTACTTTCACAACTCACAAAAATTCTAAGGACCTATGCATTTCTATATTAATTATTTACCTTCCTCTTGGTATTCTTCTTGTCTTCCAGAACGAGTTTGTTGAGCTCGTCCAGCAGATCGTTCTCCGCGTTATCCGTCACCAACTCTTCACCGACTGCGTCACCATCGGTCAGCATGGCTGCTATGAGACCGCAATGGCAGCAAATTTGCCTCAACCGTAGCAGAAGTACCAAGATCTCGTGAGATTTGACTGGTTTTGCACCTAGATTTTAAGGAATCATTAGTACTTATTGTCGATAGTGGTCAAAATTCGACCGTAATTCATAACATTTTTATGTTGCACATTTATATACAAAACACGCAAAAATATAAAACAAACGCTCTTTCGCCTTGACTTTACACTCCGCAGACTATTGTAAAAAACCATTTGAAATCACAAAAACACAGATCATTTAGTTTAGTCAATTTGTTAGTAATTATTTGGCGGCAAAATTTAAAAAAATTTGAGACAATCTCTACTCTGTGCGACTGTTTGACCTCAGACTATTAAATGTTTGACATTAGCCTTGGAGTAATACATAATAATAGAGTATACATAATATGCTTGTACTAACTATGAGGCATTGGCAGTATGAACTTTAACAAATCACAAACAATGTATTTCAGCCCCGAGGCAAACAGAGGGGTGTTTGCCGTTGCAATGTTTAACGTGTGTATCCATGTGTCTGTCTGTGACATCGTAGCTCCCAAACGGATAAACCAATTTAGATATAAGTAAAGTTTTTTTTTGTTCGAAAGTTGACTTGATCGAGACTGTTCTTAGCTAGGATAAAGAAAATCTTTTCATCCGTGTAAAGATCATCAGCTCTTGTTACGGGGGTTTTTTTTAATTTTAAATTTAATATTATGTTTTATTTTACTAAATGCATTTGTCACACACATCTATACATAAAAATCAATCGCCGTTCGTTAGTCTCGCTAAAAGTCGAAAATGGCTCGACCAATTTTGATGATTTTTTTTGTACGTGTTTGAGCGAGTCCCAAGGTGGTTTAGAGTCACGCCATTGTTGAAATCTAGAAATCACCTGTGCTAAGCCGGTTCTGATCGCTAGTCTTATATATAAATTTTAGCTTTCTGTACTCCTACTACTGGCTCAGGACCATGCTTTGTGGCATTCCTTGGGGGAGGCCTATGTTCAGCAGTGGACTTGTGAAGGGCTGTAATGAAGATGATGATGAGTGTCGTAAGAGGGAAATGAAACGAGACGAGCAATAGTATCATTCTCATAACTGATGCACAGTGTAGCAACTACGCCAATGGTCGTAACCATGGGTGCAGTCAAACCCCCGAAACTTCGGGAAACATAAAGTTAAAATTTAACGCAATAATATACGCCGAATTGGTTTTATTCTATGTATAGTATTCGCGTAAATTTAAGAAGAGTTTTGGGGGCAATTTGACCGGCAGCGGATTACTGCTTCTGTATTATTGTTTAAATAATTGTTTGAAATGGATTTTGATATGTGAAAGTGGTGCGATTTTGTGTATTACATGTCTGCACATGTGAACTATTAGTGGAAACGGTTAAACAAGTGCTCCGATGATGTGAATCTTAAGATAAGGTGCCTGTCTGCTTAAACGCCTTGAGATACTATCGGTCTACTAACTGTCTGCTGGCTCAAATTGCCGTCAAAATTTCCCAAAAACTACGCAATGTGACGCATGGACATGTTGTTGAAGCAGTGTACATCATCATTCTCTAAACCATTTCCCATTATCTGGGGTCGGCGCAGTAAATCTTTTTGTTCCATTCCTCTCTATCAGCCGTCATTTCCATACTTACTCCTTTCATTCTCATATCACTCTTCACACAATCGATCCATCTTTTATTCGGCCTTCCTCTGCCCGTGTGTCCCTCCACCATCATATTCAACACTCGTTTTGTGACATGACTTTCATTCCTCCGCATCACATGCCCAAACCATGCCAATCTGCTTCCTCTCACTTTTTCTACCACTGGCGCTACTTTCAGGCTTCCTCTTATATACTCATTCCTTATCTTATCCATCCTTGTCACACCACACATCCATCGTAACATTCTCATTTCATTCGCATGCAGTCTATTTTCATCCTTCTTCTTGACGGCCCAGCATTCACTTCCATACATGACGACAGGTCGGATGATCGATTTGTAAATTTTCCCCTTCAGCCTTATTGGCATTCGGGGATCGCACGTTGTGGCTGTGACCTGTCGCCATTTCATCCACCCTGCGTTAATCCTATGCTGCACAGCTCTATCTATTCCGCCGTCGCCTTGAATGAGGAAACCGAGGTACTTGACATCTGAGCAGATAGGCAGTATAGCGCCATCCAACGACATGGGTACAGGACTGGAAAGACCGCCAAAATCACAGCACAGATATTCGGTTTTGGATCTGCTGATCTTCAGGCCAACACTTTCCAGCCTCCGTTGCCACCCCGTCAGTCTGCTCTGTACCTCGATGCCTTCTTCCCCGACAAGCACGATGTCATCGGCAAAGAGCATGCACCAGGGTGCCTCATCCTGCAGGTCCGACGTCAAAGCGTCCATAATCAGTAGGAAGAGGTAAGGGCTCAGTGCCGACCCTTGGTGCAGCCCTACCGCCACATCGATACTGCCCGTAGTTCCCGCGGCAGATCGTACACATGTACGGGATGCTCTGTACATAGCACGGACCAACCTCACATACTTCCCAGGCATACCTTTCATCTTTAACGCCCACCACACGACCTCACGGGGAACCCGATCGTACGCCTTTTCAAGGTCGACAAAAACCATGTGCAGATCTTTATGCACGCGCTTGTACTTTTCGCACAATTGGCGTAATGCGAAAATGGCATCTGTCGTACCTCGACCGGGCATGAATCCGAACTGGTTTTGTGTTATCTCACACTTCTCTCATTCTTCTCTCTATTACTCTTTCCCAGACTTTCATCGTATGTGACATGAGCTTTATTCCCCGGTAACTGCTGAACGTCTCCTTTGTTTTTAAAAATGGGAACCAGTATACTACTGCACCATTCCTCAGGTATTTGTTCTTCCTGCAACAATTTACCGAAAAATAAACTCAACCACTTCCATCCATCCGCCCTCAGCAACTTCCACACTTCTACTGGTATTCCATCTGGGCCGACCGCCTTCCCATTCTTCATATTCCTAACAGCCATTTTTACTTCTTCCACACTAATTTCTCTCACTAAGCCCATATTCACTGGTGGGTTTTCAAGCATACCATTCCATTCATTCTCCTCATTCATCAATTTCTCAAAATACTCCTTCCATCGCTTCTTTATACTTTCATCGTCAGTCAAAATCCTTCCAGAATCATCTTTTATACATTTTACATGTGAAACATCTCTTCCATTCCTTTCTCTCGCTCTTGCAATTTGAAAAAGTCGTTTTTGACCTTCGGGGCTTTCAAGGGACCGATATAATTTATCGTGCGCCTCTGCCCTACAAATAGCAACTTCCTTCTTCGCTCTCTTCTTACATTCTTTATACGCCCCTCTCTTACTTTCTTTTATGGATTCATTCTGGTCTTCTACGCTCTGCCATTCTTTAAAGGCATTTTTCTTTTCTCTCAAAACTTCTCTAATACTTTCACTCCACCACCACCCATCCTTATCTATCATACGCTTCCCTTTTGTTTCTCCTAACACCTTCCTTGCCACACTTCTGATACAATCAGCCATTTCCTTCCAGCACTCATTCACACTCATTCCTTCCATATCACCCATCTCTATCATCTTGTTTACAACTAGCTCTCTAAATTCACTTGCATACCCCTCCTTATGCAGCAAATGCCACTTTATTTTGGGTGGGGGACGATCCTTATGTTTGTTGAGGCAAACAGTTAAGCAGATGTCAGCCAGCAGAATTCGGTGCTGGGATACTAAGTCTTCACCTGGAAGCACTTTGCAGTTTTTTACACTCTTGATTTGGTTCCGTCTTATCAGAAGATAGTCGATCTGTGTCGCGTGGTGGCCACTTTTATAAGTAACAAGATGCTGATCTCGTTTTTGGAACCACGTGTTTACTACAGCCAGGTCGAAAGCACATGCTGCTTGCAGAAGAACTTCCCCCTCACGGTTCCGCACTCCGTACCCCCATCCACCGTGTACTCTTTCATACCCGTCATTCACTCTCCCTACATGTCCATTAAAATCTCCTCCCATATACACATCCTCACGCTCAGGTATTCCCATCATCATACAATCAAATTCCTCCCAAAACTTCTCTTTCACACTCTCTTCACAGCCTGTTTGCGGAGCATACACACTTACAACATTCACTACTTTATTTTCAATCATTAATTTAACAACTATCATTCTGTCATTTACTCTTTTCACATCTGTCACTCGTTCTTTCATTCCACTATCTAACACAACTCCTACTCCATTTCGCTTCCCATCACTTCCACAATAATAAAACTTGTATCCCTCCCCAATCTCTCTTGCTTTATTGCCCTTCCATTTTGTTTCCTGCAAACAGGCAACATTCACTCTTCGTCGTTTCAAAACATCTGCTAACTCTCTTCCTCTTCCAGTCATCGTACCTATATTCCAGCTTGCAAACCTCACTCTGACATTCTTCTCTCTCCGGGCTCGCCTCTTACGTCGCACCCGCTCCGTAAGGTGCGACAACCCTTGCCCACTTCCCACAGGAGCCGGGTGCTGCCCCTGCGCGTCGCCTGCGGGGTACGCCCTAACCCTGTCATATGTCCCACAACTCGTACTATTCATTTACTGCATGGGATTTGGCAAAAGTTTTACAGTCGGCCGCCTGCCTGACACCAACCCTCTTTGGGTATGCTATTGCTGGTAGTGGAAGCTACCATTTTGGGAAAAGGAAAAAGAAGTTTGGGGGTAGGAGCATAGGTGTAAGGATACTGTTATCTCGGCAGGAAAGGTATGAGAATAACAGTAGCTCGGGGAGCCGGGGTCGCGTACCCGTATTCCATACCAGGATCACCGGAAAGGTGGACCAGCATGAGAACCCCCTGACTGTATGTTGTTGAAGCAGTGTACAATAAACCCTTTATTATATTAGTGTTGGCTTAAAGGACAAGCATCCAAGCCAAAAATCTTGATAAAAAATTAAGAACAAATTATGTCACCAACGAACTTACAGTCCACTTACCTTCAAACAAAGAAGGGCACAGATACATTGTCATACATAGACTAAGAGGGAATCCCTCACAGTCTATACCACACTACATCCACAACAGCGCAAAAACTGCGATTAGGCGGCAGAAATTATTAAGAGGATGTTACCTAAACAGATGAACTCTTGGACAGGAAAATTTACTTGTGAGTCTCTTGCTACTTCTTCTCACAATATCTCTTGAATGAAAAGATTTGACTTTGACTTCGAAGCATTAAGCTGCTATTTTACGTTGGTATTTTTAGACCCAATGCTGCTGTGTCTCGTATGGTGACTATAGAAGACCGGATACTCTTTTTTATTGAAAACGAAGTATTCAATCTTAGTCCACAGGGGTGACAACGCGTCTGCATTATGGTTCTTACTCGAAGATATGTCTCTCACAGCATACTCTTACTATCAGGTAAGCTGTGTGCTCATGTGTTACACTTATTCTATAAAAAAAAAAACTTCGAAAAGGAGTCCCTTCAACTAGAGAGACTAGATGAGCTGTAAGCTCCTTTGTTACCCTTACTAATATAAAAGTGTGCTTAATAACCCAACTAACCTTGCAGTTTGATCATCTTTTTGTGCATATCAGCGTAAGCGCTGTCCTTCCCTGGCTGGAACCCTTGTGCGTCGGCTCGCTTCTCTGCGCGCTGGTGGAGGAACTGAGCGAACAGGGTCTTTGAAAACACTAACAACTGGAACAAAATAAATTTTTATTGGTTTCATTTTACTATTCAATGTGAAAATTATGTAATGGGTAAGTGATTTCAAGCCTTCTTCCGACGGTAAAAATAATAACCATCTTTATTCAGGCAATTTAAACCCTTATAATATTAATTTACACATAGAAAGATTATAAATAAAAAGTAAATAAATCGGGGAGTTACAGATTAAGTTCTTAAATTATATGCATATACGTTTAAAACAAGATTCTCATTTTTGAATTAATTTAAAACGATATATTCATCACCCGACAGCTCCTGCCACGTCCAGGATCAGGATCTTGGACAAACAATCAGTTTGCTGAATTACCTCTCACTATGGAAACAACATTAAAGACGTGTCCATGTAAAAAGGCGTGCGTACCTTCTGGTAGACGTTGAGCTCGTCGCGAGCCAGGTGCACGGTGCGCTCGTGCAGGTCGCGCGGCGGCAGGCAGGCCAGCTGGCCGCGCTCCTGCAGCTGCAGCTTGGTGCGGCGCAGCATCACGCACCGCATGATCGTGCTCAGCCGCTCCTGCCCGCCTAGGCTCTTGTTGTCGATCCACTTCTTCCACATCTGCACGCAATCACCGTGTTTTTTTTAGAACGAGGTAACAAACTAGCACACATTCCACCGGCTGGTAAATGGATTCTGTGGCCCATAGACATCCACATCTATCCTATATTAAGAATCAAAATACAGATGAGTTGTCAGGCCTGAGGACTAAGATAAATACCTCGTTTACAGTAAAAGGGCTCTCCGGTTCTCTACACTTACCATACGAAACACAGCAGGATTGAGCTGCTATTTCACGCTTGTATTCTGTGAGAGCGTCGGTAAAGCAGACCCATTCGTGCTACAACTATAACATACCTACAGCATGTCTCTAACACAATAAAAGAAATTCTTTTAACAACTGCATTAACAATTAAACATGTTAAAATTAATTAGCTAAAATGATAAGAATGAAAACTGATAAGATGCCAATTCAATTTCTTGCGTAGTTCCCACGTAGTAGAAGACCTTAAAATAAAATAAAATATAAAACATACATAATATAAATTTCACGGCAAACGATTTATTTAATATAATAATTTTTAACCACAAGTGCGGCATAAAATATAAGACAAAATTTTAATTTTGTATTAAATAAATGTTACGATCCTTATTTTTAGACATGTGAAGCCTAAATATAGTAGAACAAATAAAAATAATATTTTCTATCGAGTAAAATTGTTTTGCAATAACGCCAACAACTTCATTTTATAAGTAGTCATTTTATTTACAACTGATTGACTCTCTAGGTGGTACGTAAAATAGAAGCTAGGTGGCCTAAACACTGATTACAGCCACAGGATGAAATCTCTTACTTTTCAAACAGGAACACAGCATCGTACGTTAGAAAATAAAATACGTTCATTTTAATCACCCTATTGATTTTGTATGTATGATTGCGACTTCATACATATCCATCTTAAATACTGACAACATTCAATTAACTAGCAAGAGTAGCGAAGGCGTTTGAAATAAGATAATTTCATGCGCGCGTGTGTGTGTGCGCGTGTGTGTGCGTGTGTGTACGTGCGCGCGTGCGCGTTTGCGTGTGTGCGCGTGCGCATGTGTGTGCGTGTGTGTGTGTGCGCGTTTGTGCACGTGCGCGAGTGCGCGTGTGTGCACGTGCGCGAGTGTGCGCGTGTGTTTGCGTGTGTGCGCGTGCGCGTGTGTTTGCTAATGTGCGCGTGCACATGTGTGTGCGTGTATGCGTGTGCGCGTGTGTACACGTGCGCGTGTGTGCGCGTACGCATGGGTGCACGTGCGCGTGTGTGCGTGTGTGCCTGTGTTTAAAACATTCGGAAACCAATGTGCTCTTAGCACATTGGTTTTGGAATGATTTACATTAGGTATTGTAAATTTAATACATTTTGTCTTATTGCCGTTTAAGAACAAATTGTTGGCGTTAAACCAATGTACTAATTTCGATAGAGCATTATTTACATCGTCATAATTAATTGACTGCCATTTGAGTATTAAAATTAAAGTGGTATCGTCAGCAAATAATACTATATCGTGATTGTCCCCTACAATATAAGGTAAGTCATTAATATAGATTAAGATCGATCCGGAGGAACCTTTACCATTGATCACGACTTTTTGAGGTCTGTTACTTAAACATGAAATAATAAGTCTAAGCGCCAAATTTTTTACACCGTAATGTTGTAGTTTCCTGATTAATGTATCATAATGAACACAATCGAAAGCCTTGGAAAGGTGACAGAGAATACCTAAGGCACCTTGTGAATTCTCCCAGGCATTAAAAATATATTTCATAAGCTCAACACCGGCGTGAGACGTCGAGCGACCCCTTGTAAAACCAAATTAGTTTTAATGAAGTAATTTATTAGTATAAAAAAAAACAATTGATCCAAAATTATATTTTCAAAAATTTTACTGAGAGTTGGTAGTACAGTTGTTTGCGCCTAACGCTAGTTTAAAGATTTGACGCAAGAGGGCGCTCGGCGTGGTGCATTCGTACCGGTTTGACGTTCGGGCGAGCGGAGTTGGTTTGGCGTGTGGCGCGGCGGAAGTCGAACAATGCAGTGCGGTCACTAGCACGGCGTGAGGTCGTCCTGTATTACCTCTATTAGTGTCGGTTTGTTAGCAAGTTTATGCAACGACGAGGAATTTGTGGAGTCTAGAAAAATAGACACCGGGTCGATTAATTGTTTGGAAGTTAATGTTTAACTGTACCGTCGCGTTAAGTGCCTTTTGTGTAATGCCTATGTAGTATTTTTTGCGTGCCAGCTAGGCTGACTTTGAATCTTAATGCGGGCGTAGTATTTAATATCGTACGAAGGAATTTAGTTTGTTGGTTGTAACGCTGTACCTTGTGACTCGTGAAGAGATCGCGTTAGTTCCCTGTTTGTAATTTGGTGATAAATGAATCCGGAACATTGAATGTTGAACTTTGAACTACTGTTCGTTACTTGTGTCGGGTATCACGTGTTTGATTTTACGATTAACGGGGATTTAGTTGAGTTTGAAGTTAATTAAATGTACAATAAAGTTGATGGATTGAAATAGTGTACAATAAAGTTGATAAAGTGAAATAGTGAAATGAAGACAGAAGTTGTCAATTGGTGATCGCCCCCTTTTGAGAGATCTCACCTTTGGAGTAGAGGCAGCGCCTGTGGATCTGCGGTCAGACTTCAACGGTCCAGTCAGGTCAAACTTTATACACACCACTAAACACCACTTTACATGCACCTACACCTACCTACGGCCTGACCGAGCCTTGAGGCAGTCTTCGCCTCGAAACCAGGTACGTCCTATTTATTTACCTAGCCTATCTCTATTGTGTAGGTCAATGTTCATAGGCATTTTGAGCCCCGTCCTCTGCTGCCCGTCGATTGGGCTACTGATGGGCCCTAGGCAGCTAGGGGCGTGTACATTTTTTGGTAGCAGGAGCGCGGTTGATTGATTTCCAATCACGCCCGACCGTAATATTAGTAAAAATGGTAGATAATAAATACGTGCGTACGTAATATAAATATTTTTTGTTTGTTAGCGAGTAGAACGGGGAACCACGCTCGTTAAGCCGCGCAAGCGGGAGTTTGTTAGGGCTAGGTACGCGTCAGGTATTTTGAGTAGGTAGATAAGGTTATCACGTAATCGGATAATTATCGTTAGCGTATAATTATAGTAGATTAATTGTCGCAGGGTCGGTTGTCTGAGCGAGGCATTTTTGCTGATCGACTGTGGTGTGTACCTTTATTTGTATTGTAATTTGTATTTAATTTAATAAATAGTAATTGTATTTGTGTAACTTGTATTTAACTTGATTTGATAGTAATTGTATTTGTTATTTGTTAATTTGGTTTGTATTTGCGCCGCGTAGTAATTTGTATTTAGTAGTGATGCCATCGCACAAGCTACCGATTCGTCGCCTGAAGGCGCTGGGCCGCTAGCGCCCATGCTTTGATAGGTCGACCGGATAGGGTCTATAGTTTGGAGAAGCGGCTCGAGCAGGTCGCGGCCCGGGGGGCCGTAGTGGAGGAGGCTTACGCCGAGCTCGAGGCCTCAGATGCGGAAAAGGGAGTCCTGGACTCCTGCCTCGCATGCATGCTTCTGAAGCCCTCTTCTTTTGACCGGCGTACAAACACATGTCTATTGGACCCGAAAATCACAAACTTTGATTCGTCCGTCTAATTCATTCCAGGACATTTTCCCATTGATCTATTGTCCAGTTTTTATGCGCCTTTATCCATTCTAGTCTATTTTTCTTATGTCCAATTGATTGCTTTGATTTTTTCGCAGCAAATTCCTCTGATCTATTCCCCTCTATTCCCTGAGGAATCAGTCAGTAGACGTCATTTAATTGTTGTTATTGAAACGAGTGTTGCTCGCGTATTGCTCGCGTATTATTCACAGATACGGTGATTTGTGGTGCAGTTAAGCATCGATTCCGTTTAGAAAGAACTCTGATGAAGATATCCTCTTCATTTGTTGTGGATTTGGGTCTACGAGATCTTCATTATTCCCAGTTTCTTGTTTTCTATCAAGCATGTAGTGGATACCTTTACAAGAAATTCCGAGTTTTTCTGTGATTTAACGTTCACAGTATCCTTCCTCACGTAGAGTACCAATAGCGCTTCTCTGTTCAAGTGTGATTTGCTTGCGTTTAGCGATTTTCGGAAGAAAAAGTATGGCTAAAACAGTAGTCAAAATCTTTCGCATACAGAGAATGTTAATATCACAACCATACGTGCGTCTATTGGGATAGGGGGTCGAAAAAAGTTAAAGCTAGCTAAAATGTACAATTAAATGGAGTGAGGACCTGGTAAGACATGCAAGAAGTCAATGGATGCAGGTGGCTCGGGACCGGGCTTTGTGGCATTCCATGGGGTAGGCCTATGTGCAGCAGTGGATTTGTGAAGAGCTGTTTTGATAAAATGAAGCCTAATAGTAAGGTGCGGACCGCGAATTCAAAAGATCGTGGGTTCGAATCCACCATTCGATTACTGTAGTGAACCACTCATAAGAGAATCAGGGTGCTTAAAAGGAATTTTAGTAATGTTAATAAGCATTGCAAACACTAAATGTAAGATGATGATGAAGTTCGAATGCGGTGTTATATTATATTGCGTGCGTGTGTGTGCGTAAACGAGTGCGTGTGAATGTACACGTTCGTATGCGTACGTATATGATGTATGCGTGGGTGTGCATGTGCATACTTCTAAGTTGTGGGGGTGATATACATACAGGCGAAGGCGGAGGGTGTAAGTGTTGCTTTTTCACATTTGTAATAATTAGTAGTTAGGATGAAAAGTCGTTACATGGCGTACGTTTACGTGAACGTGTACGTATGCATGTACGTGTATGTATACGTGTGCATGCATGTACGTGTATGTATACGTGTGCATACGTATACGTGTGCGTATGAAGCGTGTATGTATACATGTACGTATGCACCCGTGTGCGTGTATGTGTATATGTACGTGTGCGTGCGTGCGCTCACCTGCAGGTCATCGAAGGGCGAGCAGCCGAGGAAGCGCAGCAGCGCGAAGAGGTCGAGGTCGCGGTTGTGCAGCGGCGTGCCGGTGAGCGCCCATCGGCGGGCGGCTCGCAGCGAGCTCGGCAGCACGGCGGCCGCCGTCAGGCTCTTGTGGTTGCGCACCACGTGCGCCTCATCCAGCACCACGCGGCGCCAGCGCACGCGGCACAGCACACCGCCCTACGCATGCCCTCTCACTCACTCACTGGTCACTACACCTCGCTCCCTCTCTTGTGGTAGCGCGCCACGTGCGCCTCGTCCAGCACCACGCGCCGCCAGCGCACGCGGTACAACAAACCACGCTGCGCATGCCCTCTCATTCACTCACTAGTCACTACTCTTCACTCTCTCTCTTGTGGTTGCGCACCACGTGCGCCTCGTCCAGCACTACGCGCCGCCAGCGCACGCGGTACTGCACACCGCCCTACACATGCCCTCTCACTCACTACCCATAACTCCCTCTCTCTAGCGCACTACGCGCGACTACCAGAGAAGGATTCCGCACAACCCTGGACATGCTCTCTCGCTTACACACTACCCCTCTTTCTCTCTCTTTCCTACGAACTACATGCGAACACCGATAGGGAAAATCTCTCGTGTTTATAAAACCATTGTACGGGCCACATTTTGCAAGTTGCAACACAAACAACTTCATTGATAGTTAAATTAGTTTATAGCTACTTAGTTTAAAAAAGCTCTCATAATATGTATCTTACCATAAAAAAAGTATTAAATAGAATATATTTCACACTTAAAATATTATTATATCAAATAATATAAAAATTCTCAGTTCATCAAAGCTACAATAGTGAGTCAAAGTACAGTAGTGAGTCACACAATAAATAATTTTGATTGAAAAACGCGGAACAAAGTATAAAATTAATATCAATAGATGACGATAAAAGCACGGCTTTACTAACAAATTGCCTTTAAAATAGGACAGAGTATATGCGGCATCTGCATATATCTTATCCGAAATCAAGTACTCACACTAATTTGCCACCACGCGATATTACTAGGACTCTCACTTTTATAAATAGAACAGTGGTATTGATTGCTGATCTGGCTCGAAGGACAATGTAGAAGTGTGGGGGAGGAAAAGGGAATCCGGTCACATCGTAGGTGAGTTTCGTGCACGATCACAATGTTTCTGCCTCATTATTTAATCAGCAGGATATAGTGTGTCTGGTCACGACATAGCGATAATTTAAGGTTACAAAATATACCTAATTTCATCGACAAAAACACCCATATATGGAGGTCTACCCCCGCCTGTCGGAATGGCCGCCATTTAAAATTTTTTTTATTCTTGTAGATACCTCTGCCAAAAGACGCAGATTTCTCTGGACAGAAAGATCCTACAGATGTACAAAAAATGTTATTTAAAAGGTAAAAATAGCATCTATCAAATAAAAATAAACATTATGGAAAGTTTTCCCTACAAAATATCTTAAGGGGCTACTCCATGCAAACGACCTTGAGCATTTTGGTCCGCCGCGCCGACTCGCTACAATATATCGCGTAAGAAATATGTAAGACGCCACCTACTGTACGAACGTAGTATTATTTTTTCAACATCAATAAACTATTTTATGGTAAATGGAAATACACACGGCGCACTTATACGTAGGCGGTCCCATAATGAATTGGCCTAACTATGAACCAATGAAGGAAATGAAACGAAACCAATTTTATTTTTCAATATAATCACCATGAATACTAACACACTTCTGACATCTGTGAATCAACATCTCTAAACCTTTATAAAAATAATCACATTTTTTATCCTCAAAATGACTGAAGACGGCCGCCTGCAACTCTTCATCGCTTGAAAATTTTCTTCCTCTTAAGTCCCGCTTTAAATTTGGAAATAAATAATAGTCGGACGGGGCCATGTCTGGACTGTAAGGTGGATGTTGAACTTCTGTGAACCCGCATTGACGAACTGTATCCTTCGAAACACCAGCGGTATGAACAGGGGCGTTGTCATGGAGCAACAGGACACCTTTAGACAGCTTGCCTCTTCGTTTTTCCTTTATCTTGTCTCGTAATTTATATATAAAAGAAGCATAATATTCGCCGTTCACGACTGTATTACGTTCTTTAAAATCCACCATCAAAATGCCTTGAAAATCCCAAAATATTGTGCACAGCAGTTTTTTAGTCGATTATTGCACCTTTGCCTTTCTAGGGGGCTTTTCACCCTTATAACGCCATTCCATTGACTCGCGCTTGCTTTGTGGATCATAATACAAGATCATAGTTTCATCACCAGTCACTAGCCGCTCGATCACAGTCTTTGGATTTTCGCCACAAAGATCCAAAAACTCCGAAGCGCAGCGCACTCTTTCCTGTCTCTGTACCGCTGAAAGAAGTTTCGGTACCCATCTTGCACTCACTTTTTTCATGTGAAGATGTTCATGGATCGCGCGATGAACGGTACTCTTAGAGAGCCCAAGCCTTGCTGCAATTTCTCTAATCTTCAAACGGCGGTCACTCAGAACCTCCTCTTCGATAAGAGCAATCGTTTCAGGAGTGAGCACTTCCACAGGTCGACCGTCGTGGCCAAAGTCTTCGACGGTTTCTCTCCCGAGGCGAAACTCTTTCACCCAATTTTTCACTGTGCTATAGGAGGGGGCAGACTCCTTATACACGCCATCCAATCGTTCTTTTATTTGGGCAGGGGATAAACCTTCTTTAAACAGAAACTTTATGACACTTCGATACTCAGTTTTCGACATTTTGAAAAAATACGCGACTCTCGTTATTCAAATGCCTGTTAAACTAAGACTAAGCATTTCATGTCGATACATGTTTCTTATATTAAGTGCACGATAAACGTACTATTTAATGCAACACAACATGTAGCGACATGTCGCGTTGAACTATATCAGGCCAGTTCATTATGGGACCGCCTGGTAAATGTATTTTAATGTTTTTACTCGGTATATTAGTTGCATTAATTTTATGTATTCTCATATATTATCTAATTATGAAATTTTATGATTAATTATATATTAAAAATGAAGCATTGAAAATTGTGAATTTAAAAGATACCTACTCACTATAAGTAAATAGATAGATAGCTCGCCTTTTGTACAAATATTTGGTGCAATAAAGAATAAATAAATAAATAGGATGTTTGGCAGATGTGTTTTTGATTATTGTTAATTTTTACGTGTCACGTATTGAAAAATAGTATACCTACCTACTAAGTTTTGAACTGAGCACCTTGTAACTTAGCCTACTAATTATTACTTATGCTGGCTGACATTATCCTCACCCCAATGATTGATGAGGATGAAAAAAAAGATGTTTGTTTTTATTTTTATTCAATTTTATTTCTACATACGTAATTATATTTATTTATACATAAGGGTAACTTTAATAAAGGTAATACAAAAATCAATAAGAAGTATAAGGGTTCAATCTTTCAAGTTCAATTTAAAAAAAACATCACCCCCGCACTAGGATTTTCTCCTGTGTCGTGGAGGCAGTTTACAAACATAAAGTGCACAAGGGCAAACATCCAGACCCGGAACAATTATTTGTAGGTCATACAAATACTTGTTCCGTGCGGGATTCGAACCCGCGGCCCCCAGCGCAACAACTACTTGCTAAGCCACTGCGCCACGGAGCCATCGCCGGGTTATAGGTAAAGTGACCATACGCACCGTTTTGAACGGGACTGTCCCTTTTCTCGGTCACCTGTCCCATTGTCCCCAAATAAAGCTCCGGGACACAAAATTGTCCAGTAACTCGTTGGATGGAAGTATTCAAAGCCAACAATCTTCAACATAATTTTTTTAATCCAATATTTTTTATTTCTACCTGGTACAAATGCTCCAGTAGAAAGAGTATTTTTCTATTTTGAATAAATTGTGGACGTCTGAAAAAAACAGTTACGGTTCCAGTCCTAAAGGCGATGTTGTTAACAAAAGTAACAATAAAAAAAAACTTGCACAGAATTTTATTCTTATTTAAAATCATCACCAACTTACTTACTTATCTTCACGCACAATCCCTGACGGGGTAGCCAGAGAGAACAGTTCGCCAAGTGTCACGATCCTTACATACCTCTTTCGCTTCTTTCAGATTCATTATCTTCTTCATACATGCACGTCTAGGTATCCGAGTACTCTTGACCCTACCCTCTTCGAGCAATTTGCTCACATGGTCTTCGAAAGTTAGTCTCGGTCTATCTCGACACCTTTTAATATTAACTTTCGCGCTATATATTTTCTTCACCATTCGGTCTTCACTCATTCGCTCAACTTGCCCAAACCACCGAAGCACGCCCTTATCAATTTTTGTGATAAGGTCATCTTTCAAACCTGCCATATTGCGAATCTCTTCGTTTCAATTTCGGTCGGCCATGGTAACGCCGCACATTTTACGAAGAGATCGCATCTCCACTGCATTCAACTTGCTTTTATGCTTCTTCTGGCATACCCAGGTTTCGCTGCCATATATCAGGGCACCATTAACTTTGTTCCCGGCAGCGACACGTCTGTCCACATCTAAATCACATCTTCCATCCCGGCTAAAAGCACTCCCCAAGTATACAATTTCATTTACCTGTTCTAGACATTCCTGATTTACCCATATTTCACACTTCGTTCTCTCTTCGTCCCTTTCAAATACCAGAACCTTAGTTTTATTAGCATTCAAACGGAGACCTTTAATTTCACATTCCTCTTTCATACACGTGACTAATGCCTGCAGTTCTGCCTCTGATGGTGCAATAAGCACTGCATCATCAGCATACAGCAGACAATTTACTTTTATGTCACCCAATTTCACACCCAAACAGCTATCTTTCAGCTTCTGTTTTCTTCTGTGAGCTTCAATATTATAAATTATGTATTTATTATACACTTATACACAATTTGCAATGAATTTAATAATACTTTTACTTCTAAAACATTCTCCTTGAACATTCGGAAGTCATTCAATGAATGGGCGACGGTAGGAGTCCATAAGAGCAGGCATAGGTTATATGATCTTTACCATGAAAGGTCATATAATCATAGCGTCGAATTTAGGGAATATGTAAAAAAATATTCAAAAATATTTAAAAAAGTGTGCTCCATAGCCAAGTCTTTGCATTTGAGCAACAAAATTAAGACGGCTTCCAATAAAATTAAAATGACATGGAGTATAATTAATAGCGAAACTGG